ACAGACCAGATCAAAATAGAACTACCCACGACATATCATCATTAAAATAACAAGTACAGAAACTAGGGAAAGAATATTGAAGGCTGTAAGAGAGAAAAAACAAGTAACATACAAAGATAAACCCATCAAAATCACAGCAGACTTCTCAACAGAAACATTAAAAGCAAGAAAGAGAGTGGGGTGAGATCTTCCGAGCACTGAATGAAAATAACTTCAATCCAAGGATACTCTACCCAGCAAAACTATCATTCAAAATAGATGGAGCAATAAAAGTCTTCCATGATAAGCAGAAACTAAAACAATATGTGACCACAAAGCCACCACTACAAAAGATTCTTCAAGGGATTCTGCACATAGAAAGTGAACCCCAACATAACCATGAAAGGATAGGCAGCACCAAACTATAGGAAAAGAAAAAGCAAGAAAGTAGAGAGTAACCTCAACTTAGGTACACACAATCAAACCTTCAAACAACTAAGACAACTAAATACAGGAATAACCACATACCTATCAGTACTAACACTTAATGTTAACGGACTTAATTCACCCATCAAAAGGCACCTTTTGACAAACTGGATTAAAAAGGAAGATCTAACAATTTGTTGCCTACTGGAGACCCATCTCACTGACAGAAATAAGCATAAGCTTAGGATGAAAGGCTGGAAGATTTACCAAGCCAATGGCCCCCGAAAACAGGCAGGAGTAGACTTCAAACCTACATTGATCAAATGAGATAAAGGAGGACATTCCATACTAATGAAAGGGGAAATAGACCAAAAGGAAATAACAATTATCAACCTATGTGCACCCAATGTCAACACACCCAGTTTCATCAAACATACCCTGAAGGACCTAAAAGCATATATTACCTCCAACTCAGTGGTCATGGGAGACTTTAACACCTCACTATCATCAATAGATAGGTCATCCAAACAAAAAATCAATAAAGAAATCCTAGATCTAAAACATACCATAGTTCAAATGGACCTAGTTGATGTCTATGGAACATTTCATCCAACTTCTACACAATACACATTCTTCTCAGCAGCCCAGGGAACCTTCTCCAAAATAGATCATATCCTAGGACACAAAGCAAGCCTCAGCAAATATAAGAAAATAGAAATTATACCGTGCATACTATCTGGTAATAATGCAATAAAACCAGAACTCAACAACAAAAGTAAAGACAAAAAACATGCAAACAGCTGGAAAGTAAATAACTCATTACTTAATGAACAATGGATCATTGATGAAATAAAAGAGGAAATTAAAAAGTTCCTGGAAGTCAATGAGAATGAAAACACAACCTACCAGAACCTATGGGACACAGCAAAGGCAGTCCTGAGAGGAAAGTTTATAGCCATGAGTGCATATATTAAAAAGACTGAAAGATCCCAAATCAATGACCTAATGATACATCTCAAACTCCTAGAAAAACAAGAACAAGCAAAGCCCAAAACAAATAGAAAGAGAGAAATAATAAAAATGAGAGCTGAAATCAATGAAATAGAAACCAAAAAAACCATACAAAGAATTAATGAAACAAAAAGTTGGTTCTTTGAAAAAATAAACAAGATCTACAGACCCCTGGCAAACCTGACTAAAATGAGGAGAAAAAACCCAAATTAGTAGAATCAGGAATGCAAAAGGGGAGATCACAACAAACACCATGGAAGTCCAGGAAATCATCAGAAACTACTTCGAGAACCTATATTCAAATAAATTTGAAAATCTTAAAGAAATGGACAGATTTCTAGATACATATGATCATCCAAAACTGAACCAAGAGTAAATTAATCACCTGAATAGATCTGTAACACAAAGTGAAATTGAAGAGCAATCAAGAGTCTTCCCAAAAAGAAAAGTCCAGGACCTGATGGATTCTCTGCTGAATTCTATCAGACCTTTAAAGAAGAACTGATACCAACCCTCCTTAAACTGTTCCACAAATAGAAAGGGAAGGAAAACTGCCAAACACATTTTATGAAGCCAGTATTACACTTATCCCAAACCAGGCAAAGACACCTCCAAAAAGGAGAACTATAGGCCAATCTCCTTAATGAACATTGATGCAAAAATCCTCAACAAAATAATGGCAAACCGAATTCAACAACACATCAAAAGATTATTCACCATGACCAAGTAGGCTTCATCCCAGGAATGCAGGGGTGGTTCAACATACAAAAATCAATAAATGTAATAAACCACATTAACAGAAGCAAAGACAAAAACCACTTGATCATCTCAATAGATGCAGAAAAAGCCTTTGATAAGATCCAACACCATTTCATGATAAAAGCTCTAAGAAAACTAGGAATAGAAGGAAAGTACCTCAACATTATAAAAGCTATATATGACAAACCTACAGCCAGCATTATACTTAACAGAGAAAAACTGAAACCATTCCCTCTAAAATCAGGAACCAGACAAGGATGCCCACTATCTCCACTCCTATTCAACATAGTACTGGAATTCCTAGCCAGAGCAATTAGGCAAGAAGAAGGAATAAAAGGAATACAAATAGGTAAAGAAACTGTCAAAATATCCCTATTTGCAGATGACATGATCCTATACCTTAAAGACCCAAAAAACTCTACTCAGAAGCTTCTAGATACCATCAATAGCTACAGCAAGGTAGCAGGATATAAAATCAACATAGAAAAATCATTAGCATTTCTATACACTAATAATGAACAAACTGAAAAAGAATGTATGAAAACAATTCCATTATAATAGCCTCAAAAAAAAATCAAATACCTAGGTGTAAACCTAACAAAAGATGTAAAAGACCTCTACAAGGAAAACTATAAACTTCTGAAGAAAGAGATTGAGGAAGACTATAGAAAGTGGAGAGATCTCCCATGCTCATGGATTGGTAGAATCAACATAGTAAAAATGTCGATACTCCCAAAAGTAATCTACATGTTTAATGCAATTCCCATCAAAATTCCAATGACATTCATTAAAGATATTGAAAAATCTACCGTTAAATTTATATGGAACACAAGAGGCCACGAATAGCCAAGGCAATACTCAGTCAAAAGAACAATGCTGGAGGTATCACAATACCTGACTTCAAACTATATTACAAAGCAATAACAATAAAAACAGCATGGTACTGGCACAAAAACAGACATGAAGACCAGTGGAACAGAATAGAGGACCAGATATGAAGCCACACAACTATAACCAACTTGTCTTTGACAAAGGCGCTAAAAATATACAATGGAGAAAAAGCAGCCTCTTCAACAAAAACTGCTGGGAAAACTGGTTAGCAGTCTGCAAAAAACTGAAACTAGATCCATGTATATCACCCTATACCAATATTAACTCAAAATGGATCAAGGATCTTAATATCAGACCACAAACTCTAAAGCTGATGTAGGAAATACTCTGAAGTTAGTAGATATAGGTAAGAATTTTCTAAATGGGACCCCAGCAGCACAGCAACTAAGAGATAGCATAGATAAATGGGACTTCATAAAACTAAAAAGCTTCTGTTCATCAAAAGAAATGGTCTCTAAACTGAAGAGAACACCCACAGAGTGGGAGAAAATATTTGCCAGCTACACATCAGACAAAGGACTGATAACCAGAATATATAGGGAACTTAAAAAACTAAATTCTCCCAAAACTAATGAACCAATAAAGAAATGGGCAAGTGAACTAAACAGAACTTTCTCAAAAGAAGAAATTCAAATGGCCAAAAAACACATGAAAAAATGCTCACCATCTCTAGCAATAAAGGAAATGCAAATTAAAACCACACTAAGATTCCACCTCACCCTGTTAGAATAGCCATCATTAGCAACACCACCAACAACAGGTGTTGGTGAGGATGTGGGGAAAAAGGAACCCTCTTACACTGTTGGTGGGAATGTAAACTAGTACAACCACTCTGGAAAAAAATTTGGAGGCTACTTAAAAAGCTAAACATTGATCTACCATTTGATCCAGCAATACCACTCTTGGGGATATACCCAAAAGACTGTGACACAGTTACTCCAGAGGCACCCGCACCCCCATGTTTATTGCGGCACTATTCACAATAGCCAAGTTAGGGAAACAGCCAAGATGCTCCACTACTGACGAATGGATTAAGAAAATGTGGTATCTATACACAATGGAATTTTATGCAGCCATGAAGAAGAATGAAATGTTATCATTCGCTGGTAAATGGATGGAATTGGAGAACATCATTCTGAGTGAGGTTAGCCTGGCCCAAAAGACCAAAAATCGTATGTTCTCCCTCATATGTGGACATTAGATCAAGGGCAAACACAACAAGGGGATTGGACTTTGAGCACATGATAAAAGCGAGAGCACACAAGGGAGGTGTGAGGATAGGTAAGACACCTAAAAAATTAGCTAGCATTTGTTGCCCTTAACGCAGAGAAACTAAAGCAGATACCTTAAAAGCAACTGAGGCCAATAGGAGAAGGGGACCAGGAACTAGAGAAAAGGTTAGATCAAAAAGAATTAACCTAGAAGGTAACACACATGCACAGGAAATTAATGTGAGTCAACTCCCTATATAGCTATCCTTATCTCAACTAGCAAAAACCCTTGTTCCTTCCTATTATTGCTTATACTCTCTCTTCAACAAAATTAGAGATAAGGGCAAAATAGTTTCTGCCGGGTATGGAGGGGGTGAGGGGGAGAGGGAGGTAGCGGAGTGGGTTGTAAGGGAGGGGGTGGGGGCAGGGGCGAGAAATGACCCAAGCATTGTATGCACATGTGAAGAATAAACAATAAAAATTGAAAAATGAAATAAAAAAAAAAAAGGAAACAAGTGATGAAGTGAAAAAAAAAAAAAAAAAAAAGCAGTGTTGCAGGCTGGGGACATAGCTCAAGTGGTAGAATGTTCTATCAAGCTTAAGGCCCTAAGTTCAGATCCCCAGTACTGCAAAAAGCAGAAGAAAAGCAGTGTTACTATTACAGCAAAAGGAGTCTAAGTTAGGCAGTCAGAACGGCTAACTTTCTAATTTAAGTCTCTCTTCTCAAAACACTGAACCACTATGTTTTGATTTCCTGAAGTATTCTTTTGTGTTGTAGTCATGAGGTAAAGGGTGGGATAATTTTTGAGGACAAATCATCTCTCCATTTCTAAAACTGCAGTAAGAGTACTCACTTGGAAGAGCTCCCACTCTCTCTTCTTTCTTACTAAAGTCTTGTTGCCTGCTTCCGTGTTTCAACTTAGATAAGAAGAGATTCTTGTGAGACCTAAATGAAACACAGAAGCTTGTGACTGATTCTAAAAAGGGTAGTACAGTACGGAAAAAAGGCAGATGATTTATCTTTATCTCTGTTCAGGGCTCTTCTACTATGGCCTTCTTTCTGTGTGTTCTCCTTGCTTTGTACTCCATGTTTATTGTTAAGTCTCTTAAGATTTCTGTTGTCAGGCTCATTCATATCTTTTCTTGATCTCATCTAGTCAGGTACTGGCTTTCCAGTTAGATCAAAGTCAAAAAAAAAAAATCCTCAAATTACAAAGCATTAACTTTCACTCTCTCCTATAGCTTCCAAACTTATCTCCCTAAAGAGAAATTTCAAAATTTCTTTTCATGATGGCAGCTATCACTTGATTACCAATTTAGCTTCCTCCAAAAAAGGGCTTTTTAAAAAAAGTAAATTTGTTTGCAAATTTAGGATGTGGTATAATTTTTAACAACCCTACAATGTTTCATAAAGGAACAAATTAGGGCTCAAATAGTACTTTGCCTGAGCTTAGACAGTTTCATCATCTTCAACTAAAATGTAGGCTAGCTGGGCAGTGGTGGCTCATGCCTGTAATTCTAGTTACTTAGGAGGCAGAGATCAGGAGGATTGCAGCTCGAAGCCACTCTGGGCAAATAGTTCATGAGCCCATATCTTGAACAAACCCTTCACAAAAATAGGCTAGTGTAATGGGTCAAGGTGTAGGCCCTGAGTTCAAACCTCAGTACTGCAAAAAAAAAGTAGGCTCTGCTTACCTATACTTTCATTCCTATAAATACTCCATGCAACCACATTATCCTTTCCCTCCTGTTCTCTAGCCCAAATCCTTCTATTGGTCTCTCTAGAATGCCATTCTCAACTTCTTTACTAGTTCCACTACCTCTCTGCCTTGTCTAAAATCTAGCTCTCTCCTTGGGATCATATTTCTCTTGTTTGTGACCTTCTCAAGTAGTAACTGGCTTTATCTTCCATCCTCTATAAGCCACAAGACCCCAGAGATCAGTTTTTATAGCTGTTGTTTCTTTATTTTTGTACTGCTGATGATCAAACACAGGGTCTTATACATGCTAGGCAAGAGCTCTACCACTGAGCTATATCCCCACCCCAACAGATTTCATTTCCTAATGAATATCACTTTCAGGATCCCGCTTCCACAGAAACCCCAGCCCTTGAGGAAACATTTTGCTGAGATCCATCACCTTCTAGCATTCTTTATAGCTGTTTACTATCCTTCCAAGCACTTCCCATGACTCAGAGATCTTTCTTACAACTAAGGGCTGCCATTATGAATTACTTCAGTGTTTTAATGAATAAACAACATCATCCCAGTTTCTCAGTGTCATCGCCAACAATCTCCTCCATACCAAATTAGCAACCTTTCCCATGCTTCCAATTAGCAACCCAACTGTTCTATTTCTGAAATAATTCCGCAGACTTTCTTAATATGTTATATTGTCTGCCACAGCACTTTTAGTAGACTAAAAACAGCTGTTCAAGTAATTTCATAAAATTACAATTTAGGACATTCTCAGAAATTTAACTCCTACACCCTTCATGCCACAGCATGTATCTTTATTTCTATGACAGAATACAAGTTTATTTAACACGTGCTTTAAGCTCAAGTACTCCCTACATGTTATTCCGATAATGGCTTTTATAGAAACAATTTGAAACAACCCAGGATCTCAGATGGAGGTCTCTACAGTTTGAAATTTTCAGACATGTCAGGATCTTGAATGTCTGTTTGACTAAGTAGGAGCCTGAAATATTTTTTAATCATACCATTTAATGGCAGTTATAACAACATATCTTGAGTCTGCATGAATTGCTTCAGTCAAAGATTTTAAAGACAAAGAGAAACATCAATTTACTTCACCTCAATAAGGACACTGTACCCTCTGAGGATTCATGTACCGCAGAATGTTTGTCACTAACACTTTAAAAGAAGAACAATGTGTAAGAAGCTAAACAAAAGAAATTTTAGATAATACTTTCCACATATTCAAGTCATATTTCAATTTAGAAAAAATATCTTTGGAGGACTGGAGGTGTGGTTCAATGGGTCGAGTGTCTGCCTGGCAAATATGAAGACTTGAGTTCAAATCCTCCTAGTACCACCAAAAAACATTCTTTGGAAAGAAAGCCTGTAGTCTATTACAATATAGCCAATATGGCTTTTAAAAACTCTTCCATGGATCTTAGTTCTGTAAATTCAAGTTTTTTTGGTGGAACTGAGGTTTGAACTCAGGGCTTTGTGCTTACAAAGCAGGTGCTCTGCCATTTGAGCCACACCTCCAGTCCATTTTTCTCTGGTTATTTTGGAGATGGGGTCTTTCAAACTATTTGCCTAGGCTAGCTTTCAACTGCAATCCTCTTGATCTCAGCTTCCCAAGTTGCTAGGATTACAGGCATGAGTCACCAGCTTTTTTCCTTTTCTTTTTGGTAAGGAATGGATTTGAACTCTGAGCTTCAGGCTTGCAAAGCAAGCATTCTTATCACTTGAACCACGTCTCCAGCATAAATTCAAGTTTTTTTTAGCAGCTTTACTGAGGCATAATTAATATATTAAAAATAGTGCATGTGTTTTTAATTACACAAGTTAATTTCTTGTCTTCCTCACTAGTCTCAGTTGAACCTTTATTTATTTTTTTTCTTGGAGACAGTCTTGCTATATTGCTACACAGCCTGGCTGGCCTCAAAATCAAGATACTCCCACCTCAGCGTTCCAAGTGCTGGAATAAAAGGCATGCACCACCTGTTTGGCTTCCAATTGAACTTTTCTTTCTTTCATTTTCTTTTTTTTCCAACAGATGCTCCTGCATTGTAATTAAAATAGCTTCTAAAACACAACATGACCATTTCTACCTCCAAGTGTTCAATGCTTCTTGTATTCCTCTTTCCTAAAATAACATTTCCTCTTGCATCTACCTATAAAAATCTTAGCCATCGTTGAGCGTCCTGCTCAAGACTAACACCTCTGTGAAGCTATCTTAACTCCTTCAGCATTAAATTCTAATATAGCAACAAATATGGATTATGTGTTAGTTTGTTTCTGCTTATAATTCTTACCCTCTCAAACGATTATAAACTTTATCAGAGCAAAATATTTCATCAAGTCTTAGTAACACCAGCTTCAATTTGTCTGATCTTACAATCATACTTCTGATGGTATCACCTATTGATTGCTGCCTGCTACTGGAAATTTGATGCTTGATTTGCCTTGGTGCAGCTTCCAGGTTTCGAAATTTGCTTGAATACTGACCTTCATCCTGTCTCTAGTTTTGGTTTTGTTCCCTGTGACTACATTATTAGTTTCTAAATTAGGTACGAAGATTGCCAAGCCAATTAAGATGCTTCAAAGCTAATTAAGAACCTTCAAGGTGTCGGGGGTATAACTCAGTGGTAGAGCGCTTGCTTAAGCTAGTGTGAGGCCCCAGGCTAGAACCTTAGCACCACAAAAACAAACCCCAAAAATCCTTTCAAAGACTTCCCAGTTTAGTGAGAGATACAGACATGTAAACAGGTAAGTTACTATTTAATGTAGTGGACGTGTAACTTGGTACTGTGAGAATTCAAAGTAACAACTTTAATTAGAGTCAGCTAGACTACACAGTTAATCTTTGAGATAGACCCTGAATGACAAATAAGAACTCAACAGGAAATAAAAAAGAAGCGAATCCAAAATAGAAGGAACTAAACAAGACTAAAGGATAATATTTTAAGATTAGTGAGTTGTGTGTTGCTATAAAGTACCATGCATATGGACAAGGAGAATTAATGCTTAAGGATGAGATTGTATGATAGTCCTCCTTTTATTTCTCCACAGATACTATGTTCTAAGGCCCCAGTGGATGCCAGAGAGCAAACAGTTCTAAAATACTAAATGGGATAATGCAGAAATAAATTATTCATTAAGATGAGTAGGGAGATGAAATAGCCCTTTGTGCAGCATGTTCACGCTGTATATCCTACCTATCTTTAGCTCTCTTAGTTATCAGTGCTTGTGCTCAAGTAACCCTTTTACTTATTAATGGCTCCAAAGTGCAAAAGTAGTTAAGTTATGAAGTTATGGTGACACTTCACACATGCTAAAGAGAAGCCAAAATGGCTTCCTTTAAGTGAAAAGGTGAAAACTATAGACCTAAGAAGAAAAATACATGCCAATGCTACTAAGCTCTACCATAAAGACAAATGTATCTATGAAACTGTGAAGAATAAGAAATTCATGTTAGTTTTCCTAGCATACCTCCAGCTGGAAAAGTAATTGCTACAGTGCATAATAGGCCCTTAGTTAACATGGAAAAGACATGAATTTGTTGGTGGAATGCATGAACAGAAAACACATTCTGTTTGAAGGCAACATATTGCACCCAGAGCACTGCAGAATTAGCAGTCCATTATTCACATGGACCACATTCCAAGGCCTCCAGTGGATGCCTGCAAATATGTAGAGCTGAATTCTGTAACTAGGCACATGGGACGTACTGTGGCAGTATCTTCCACAGTTTGGGGTGAGAAATTTCCCTCCTTCCTTCCCTCTCTTTCATTTTTCTTTGAGACAGAGTCTTGTTATGCAGCCTAGGCTGGCATCAAACTTGAAGATCCTCCCACTTCAGCCTGTTGAGTGCTGAGATTACAGGCATGCCCCACCACACCCAGCTTAGAAATGTCTTCTTCTTTCTCCAGAATTTCATATAGAAGGTCTGTCCTTATAGTAGAGCTCAGTAAGCTCAACACAGATGTTTTTCTTTCCTTAGTAGGTCAAGAGCTTCCATTTTTTTCAGTTAAAGAAAGTATGGTACAGCTTCTCTGTGGCATATCCCAACTGCCAACATTAGTACTTTTGTGTTTGGGGATCATCATTATGTAAAACAAGGGTTACTTCAATACCAAGCACTGTAAATGTCATTACAAATGTCAACTGACAACTGAAATGGCTGCCAAACGACTACAGAGAAGATGGCAAATGCAGCCTGGACACTCTGGTCAAAGGTATGATTCACATCTTGCCTGAAAAGGGCAAGAGGGTGCAATAGGAAGGCATGAGATCTCAGTCATCACTCAGAACAGCACCCAACTGGGCTGGAAATGTAGCTCAGTTGTTGAGGGCTTGCCTAGCATGTGCCAGTCCCTGGATGAAAGCAGAGAGAGAAGGGAGGAAAAAGAAAAGACAAAAAGGAAGGAAGGAAAGAAAGAAAGGAGAGAGAAGGAAAGGAAGGGAGAGATGGCGACAATTTAAGACATGAATTATTTATTCATAGAAATTTCCATTTAATATTCTTTGGGCCATGGTGATGGCTGGTAAATGAAACTGTGGATAAGGGGGAAATATTGAAATAAATAAAAGGTTACTATGTAAGCCATGCCAATAAATTTTGACTTAACTAGTAGGGAAGAGGAGAAAAGCTTTTTAAGCTGGGAAATGGAGTTTACAGAAGCTATTGCTAAGTTATGTCAAGAATGCATTTGTGTGGTACAGAGTCATGTATAAAATTCTGAGAAAAAATGAATTAGAGAAGTTTTGCGATGGATGGCAGAGTAAAGGTGCAGAGAAGTGGATGGGAACATGAAGAGCTCTGTTTTACACACGTTGCATTGTGTCTGTCTAGAACTTAGGAAACAAATGGCTATATAAGGAAATATACTCATCTGCAAGAACCATGGTATAGTTTTAATTGTATTCTAAAAGAGTTACAAGAAGCCTTGGCTATGAGAATGTATGGGGTCTTAGCATCATTAAACTTTATTTTTTTAAACAAAATGGAGCAATGGACCCAATAAAATGAAATCTCAGCCAGGCTCAATGGCTCACATCTCTAATCCTAGCTACTTGGGAGGCTAAGATTGGGAGGATTGAGGTTTGAGACCAGCACAGGCAAATAGTTTGGAAGACCCCATCTCCAAAATAACCAGAGCAAAAGTGGACTGGAGGCATGGTTCAAGTAGTAGAGTGCCTGCTTTGCGAGGGCAAAGCTCTGAGTTCAAGTTCAAGCCCCAGTCTCACCAGAAAAAAAAAAAAAAGAACAAATCTCTACTTCTCAAAATGGATCTTAGAAAAAACTCATTAAGAGTCCAGTACAAGCCTCAGGGAGATGGACCAGTAAGGAGCAGGTCATGCTCTCTCAGGCAGAACAGTAAGAGGGAATACTGGAATACTGTAAAAAAGACTAAGCCTAGCAGGCTGGTGGAGTGGCTCAAGCAGTGGAGCACCTATCTGCCTAGCAAGCAGAAGGCCCTGAGTTCAAGCCCCAATACCACAAGAAAAAAGAAAAAAAGAAAAAAAAAAAAAAAAAGGAAGAATGAGCCTCACTCCTAAGACATTACTACAATTGCAGCATATATCCAAGCTGAATACCTTTATATCCAAATTGGACACAAATCCCCATCTCTAAATAAGTAGTTAAGAGAGGGTGTCTGCAGCACTCTAGCACTGGTTCCAAAAAGAAACAAAAATATTGTGTACACTGCCATATATATCCATCCAGAGCCCACAGGAATTTGACTATTTGGCATTGGATTAAGAGTGACAGAGCAGAGGGAACAGGTTATGGATTTAATAGAAAAGAAGATTTTTTAAATTGCAGAGCTATATCTTCTTTAACAGGGTTAGCTTATGAAGCAAAACGTAAAAATCACCCTTGGGATAGGATGTAGCTTACAGGTAGTATGCTTGGCTCACATGCAAAATACAAGCAGTATTGCAAAAAGGAAAAACAGTAAGAACTCACTAATAACAACCTTGAAAATCTCTAAAGAAAAAAATAATTCTGAAGACCGAACTATTATCTCTTAATATGTACGACTAACATAACCTGTTTTCCTCCACATTGGAGCAAATTACTATTTCTTCAGTTGAACACAAAAAGAGGCCGTCAGCTTCCCCTCATATATATATATATATATATATGAACAATATTATACAATACTCATTATATTCATATGTACTAACGTACATAATGGGTCACAAAATAAAGGCCTGTGGGATCTGAATACAAGAGGCACAAATGATTCAGGTTTCCAATTTCAATCTTGTTTCTTAAGCACATTTTTGCTGAGAATAGTAAATGAAATTATCCACATTACTTAAGCTGTAATATTTTCTCACTTCCTGCTTTTTGCTTAGAATATATAATTTGTGTAAGACATGAAATAACTCTATATCCAAATGTTAGTCATCAGTTAACACACCTGGTACTTGGTAAACCTTTTGTTTTTTTTTTTTTTTTGGTGGTACTGGAGTTTGAACTCAGAGCCTCACACTTGCTAGGCAGGCTCTCTACCACTTGAGCCACTCTGTCAGTTCTTTTTTGTGTTGGGTATTTTGGGGATGAGGTCTCTGAAACTATTTGCTCAGGCTGGCCTCAAACCACGATCTTCCTGATATCTATCTCCCTATTAGCTAGGATTACAGGCATGAACCATTGGTTGCAGGCTCAATAATTACTTTTAATAATGGCTCACCAGCATCACTTACTTAAAGAACATTCATAAACAACAACAAAAAATTAATGAGTTTACAAACCTTTCTCCTTTATCTGAATTAACTTCAGTTTCCATTTCAACATTATTGCCATTAGATTTATCTGGAGAACTTACTGTTCTTGCTTTTCTTGCTTTTTCACTTTCTACTACTTTTACTGCTGCCTTTAAAAAGGGTGGGTGGGGGAGGGAGAGGAAAGAATGCATGAAACCATTTTAAACAAAGAATTCATTCAGCCATTTTAGACAAATAGTATTAATTTACTCTTCTGATACTTTGATAGTCAGCCAAAGTATCTGTTCACAGGCTGATAAAGGATACCATGTTGTTATTTTTACAAATAGTTATGAAAATGCTGACAGTTACTTTAGCTACCTGGTTGGTCTATAGGCATTATGGAGGGGGTTTTCCTTTGCAAATATATTTAACAGACACAATGCTCTCCAGGCAATTAAAGATAAAAGATTACTTTAAAAAATACATAAAAGCTCCAGATAGTAAAAAAAAAAAAAAAAAAAAAAAAAATTACTTAAAACTTGTTTTCACTTATTTCTTGTCATTTTGTTTTCCTTTCAATTTATACTTTCAAGTATTCTTTATTACAATAACTTCTCAAGTTTATTGTTAGACTCTCTTTGAAATAACATCCATACCTTCATTAAAAAAGTTGATGATTTTTCATTTAGAATGTAATTCACGTAACTCTTTATTTTCTCCATCATGTGGTTGTAGCTGAAATGTTGCAAAAAGGAGTGGAATGTAGCTTTCTGAGAGATTATCATAAGCAATTTCCTTCCTAAAGGCTAAAGAAACAAAGATATATTAATATAGAAAATAAAATTTCAAGTAAGAAATTTTTATATAGTATTTAACTGAAAACAATCACTCTATAAACACTAAGAGACACAATTAAGAATTTTAAAACCCTGTCTTAAATGACTCATCAATTTTTTTCCTTTGTAGTGCCCCCCTAATTACTGAATACTTGATATTTCACACACATGTAGGAATACAAAGATTATAAATCTGATTGTTCATTATCAATTTAAATAAAACATTATCAATATGGTTAAAGCCCTGTTTACTGCCATATTCTCAATACATCCTACTCTCTCCTTACCCTTAGCCATTACCCTGAATTTAATATTTGCATTCTCATAAATTCATCTGGGCTGAAGACATAGCTCAAGTGTAGAGCACTTGCCTATCATAAATAAACAATGCTCTGGCTCCCATCTCCAGCACTGCAAAAATAAATAAACAAATAAATTAATTAATTAATAAAATTAATTCTTTTATACTTGCACTGAACTTGTATGTATTTATAAATAATATGTAGTATTTAGCATGGTTTTAACTTTATACAAATAGTATCATACTGTGTGTATTTTTCTAAACTTTGCTTTATTTTCCTATACTCTTATTTTTATGACAGTTACTTTGTTAATGTGATATTTGTAGAACTATTTATTTTCACTACTGCATAGTACTATACTGTCCAAACATATCATCTGTTTCCCGTTCTTCCAGGCTATTGAAGAATTTGGCTATTTGCTATTACTAAAATACTCTTAAACATTTTTCTATATATCTTCTTGTATGTAGTGCAAATTTTTCTTGGAGAGTTCTTTCAATGCTGGCTGCACAACTTTAAAACTATACAACTTAAAAAAAATTGTAGGCTTGATCCCAGACCAATTGTTACAATGAGGGCTGGGTTTTGTTTTTGTCTTTAAAGCTCATGTACAGTAAAAGTGAAAATAGGTATCCTTGGATATTCATCTAAAAGTGGAATTACAGATTTTGCTAAAATGTTCTCCAAATTTAAAATAACCAATTTCCAACATGCACTCGACAGAGAAAGCTAAAGTAGGCAGTCTAATCATTTCTCTACCTTTTGAGAAACTGTTGGTGTTCTAAGACATTTTAATTATTGGCAGACAGAAGGATGGGAAATGGTATTTTAATGTTAGTTGGTATTGTTCTGAGGACTAATATCAGTGAAGTTAAACACTTTCTCTTAACTGCTTAATGTTTACTGGCCATAAATTTTCCTCTTATATGAGATACATGCAAAGTGGAATTTTTAGTAGTCTTATAATGCTAAGGAAAAAAAAACAGAGGGGCAGAGAACCCAATAAACACATCAGGGTATCAGCTGAAATTTCTGGAGGATTATATCCTAACAGCAGGTTCAAATTAGAGATAGCCAAAGCCTTATGCAAACCACAACTTATTCTTAATTAGACTAAGTCAGTTATTAATTAAGCTAATTACTCCTCCAATACACAACTCTATCTACTAGCATATTAAAATTGATTCAGGCAGGTGTATTGGCTCAAGTTTGTAATCCTAGCTACCTGGGAGGCAGAGATCTGGAGGATCAAGGTTCAATGTCAGCCTAGAAAAAAGTTTGCGAGACTCTACCTCAATCAATGACTGTGTACAGTGGGACAAGCCTATCATTCCAGCTCTGCCAGGAAGCACAAGTAGGAGGATCACGGTCCAGGTAGCCTGGGCATAAAATGAGATGCTATGTCAAAAATAACCAGTGGCTCACATCTTTTAGTCCTAGCTGTTTGGGAGACTCAGATCTGGAGGATCTCAGATTCTCGGTAAATAGTTTTTGAGAACCCCATCTCCAAAATAACCAGAGCAAAATGGACTGGAAGTGTGGTTAAAGTGGTAGAACGCTTGCTTTGCAAATGTGAAACCCTGAGTTCAAACCTCAGTTCCACCAAAAAAATAAAATTAAAAAAACAAAACAAAACAAAACCCACAGAAAAAGGGCTGACAGAATGGCTCAAGTAGTAGAGTGCCTGAATAGGAAACACAAAGCTCCAAGTTAAACACCAGTACTACCAAAAAAAAGCTTCTACCTTAATTACTATTCACCAGACCAAAAAAATTAAAACCAATTGTAATAGTACTATATATCTGCTAGGATAACTAAAATGACACCATAGGTCAGGTCTACAGAGCAACTGAACTCTCCTACACTACTGGAGAAACTGCAGCAACTACTTGGAAAACTGTTGGGCAATACCTACTAAAACTGAAGGTGTGTCAGTTGGGGTGGCTCATGCTTGTAATCTTAACTACTTGAGAGGCTGAGATCGGGAGGATTGAGGTTTGAGGTCAGCCCAGGCAAACAGTTTGTGAGACCTCCAACTCTAAAATAACCAGATCAAAAATGGACTGGAGGTGTGGCTCAAGTGGTAGAGTGCCTGCTTTGCAAGTTTAAAGCCCTGGGTTCAAATGCAAGTCCCACCCCAAAAAAAAGAGAGAGAAAAAAAAATGTCAGAAACAAGTAAAACTAATCTTTGGGAAATGACTGTAGTGTACTAGTGTGGCGGCTCCACACACAAAGGTGTTCCTCTTGTGAAAACACACCTACTCACACACTTATGACACAGGTTCTCTTTTAGAAGTTTGCCATGTTCAACAAACATTCCCTAAAAACCATATAAAATCATCTTCTCTTTCTTTGAATATGCTTAATTCACTACAAGTTTTTAATGTTTAAATAAAAAGGCCTATTGACCTTAATGTTACACACACACACACACACTCTACTATCACATCACAAAGTCTAGAAAGTGGCCAGGTATCAAGGGACATACCTATAATCCCAGCACTCAGGAGGCAGGGGGGAAGGAGGATTATGAATTGCAGGCCAGCCCTGGGTTACATGGTAAAACCTTTAAGAAATTATAGTACCTTCTCTATACCTATGCTGCCTAATATAATAGCATTACATACATGTCAGCTGAGCTCTTGGCTAGTCTGAAGTTAAGACACATTGTAAGTATAAAATACACACCAAATTTCTAAGACGTGATACAAGAAAAAAAAAAGCGTGATTTTTGTATTGATTAAATGTTACAATGATGTTTTTTGACAAAGTGGGTTAGATAAAGCATTTAGTTCTCCTGAGTTTCTTTCAGTTTTCCTCATTCCACACAAACGGTTCTAAACTACTATGATTTTAATTTAAACAATTACCGTGTGAGCATCTGGATCACCAAATACTCTTTCAAATACTTCTTCTGCTTCCTTAAAACTGCCATTTTCCATACAAACAGCTACAGCCTAGAAAAGAGGACAAATACATACCTTAGGCTGCTTTTTAAAGTATCCACTAATTGTTTAACTATTGGCACAACTCAGGTTAAGTCTGAAATACTTCAAACATTTTTATGCCACTTAATAAATTTAATAAATGATAAAACTAGTTTTTCAAAAATGAAATAACTGGCTTGAAAAGCCAAATTAAAAGAACGACAAAGACTATGAAAATTTTTCACTGATCCTGTGCACATTTACTAATACATGTTCAGCATTCTATCTCTAATTTGGGTCGAATTAAAAGTAGTCATTAATAAATTAGAAGCTAAATGATGCACATTTAGGACCTACCTAGATATTATTTTGAAGAAAAGGGAAATGAGAGTAGGTAGACAATGTTTGTAATGATTAGGATACATAAAATTTGCTAGTATGTATCCTTGGAAAATCGTTATTAGAAACATAGCCAAGTCTAATAACTGTGAATGGCATTATACACAATGGCCTTCCTGATAACACAAGGAGTAAGATATGGGACCACTATTATCATCTGGGTAGATATGTTAACTTGGCAGGCCACTTAATCTTCTGTTTCCCTTCCATGTAAAATGATAGAAATAATAGTACACCAACTTTACAGAACTGTTCAGAGGATTAAAGTTGTATGTTAAAGTGATCAACAAATAGTAAATGATATATTATATTTTGCTACACTCTGCCATACTCCACTTTATAGAACGATGGTAACAAAGGTCAGATTCCATTAGGCCCCCAAAAGACTGGCGTAACATGAAAAAATCTCTTTGTCCTGAGACTAATTCTTAAAAGAAGCAGTTATCTTTCTGCCCATTCTTGACTCTTCATGTCTTAAATCTACTTGAGAGTCGCCACATTAATTCTTGGGAAGGTGGTTTTTCTCTTCTGTCTAACTCATAAACAACTTTTTAGAATTCTAAAAAACTAAGAAAAATTTTATTCAATTGAAAGTCCCTAATATGTGTCTGACTCATAGCAAAATGTATTCTCTCTGATATTAGATCTCTGAATGATTTTGGCTTCTCTCAAACATCCTACTAAATACTAAAATTCTCTCAACATGGTTAAAACTTTATATACTCTTACTCACAGAACCCATAATTTATTATTATTATTTTGTGGTACTGGGGTTTGAACTCAGCATCTGCACCTTGAGCCACTCTACCAGCCAGCCCTGTTTTGCGTTGGGTATTTTCAAAATGGGGTCTCATGAACTATTTGCCTGGACTGGCTTCAAACCATGTTCCTCCTATCTCTGCCTTCTGAGTAGCTAGGACTACAGGCATGAGCCATTGGCACCCAGTCCAAAACTTATTATTAATTAAAAATTGGACTAGGAGTATAGTTCAGTGTAGAGCACTGCTTGGAATGCATGAGGCCATGGGTTCAATCCCCAGCACCAAAACCACACAAAAAACAAGCAAAGAAAATTAAAAAAAATTTTTTTTTTTTTCAGATTCATAGTCCTTAAATAGAAATTGAGAGAGCACAGATTCCTAGATGTTGGACTGGTTGGTAATCTTTAAATACAGGCAGTGTATTTTCTCCAACATGAGGGTAACATATATCTAAGGAGGGAACATTAAGTTCTAAGCCCTGGTACTCATATTAAGACTACAAACCAAGTGAGATGCCTATAATCCTGGCTGCTTGGAAGGCTGAGATTGGGAGGATCGAGGTTCAAGGTCAGCCTGGGCAAACAGTTGGTGAGACCCCCATCTTCAAAGAAACCAGAGCAAAATGGACTGGAGGTGTGGCTCAAGTAGTAGAGCACTTTGCAAGTATGAAACCCTGAGTTCAACCCCAATCCCACAAAAAACAAGAAAAAGATTATAAACCAAAAGTCAAATTTCGAAACAAAAAGATTTTAGCAATTTTTACGTGGGCTTACTAATTTCCGTTAGGTTCCTCTTAATTTCTTTTGGATGTTAGACGTTTACATTTTCTAGTAAAATAACTATAAGCACAAAATAATAATCATACCTGAATTTTAATTAAGTTTTGTATTTCTTCATGAAGTTTGTCATGTTCCTTTTCAATTGAAGCCCAAATTGTCAGGGCTGATTCCAAGGGTGTAATACGTTCATCACTTTCAAACTGAGCATCTTTTAAAAACAGAACAAAAAATAACTTAGAAAACAGAACCTCTCTTTGTCAGTTTTTTTTAAATGCACTCCTTCACATATTTACTGAGTATACCATGTGCCAGGCACTGTTCTCATATATACCAGCTTAGGAAACTAATTTTCTAAGTTAATTTACTCAGTAAGATCAATTTTTAAAAAGGAAAACAATCTGATGAGATTACAAAACATTTGAAACTGAGTTTCTCTTTTTGGGGGATCTGGGGGTGGCGGAGAGTTTGAGACAGTGTCTCTTTGTATAGTCCAAACTAGTCTTGAACTCACAGTCCTCCTGTCTCAGCCTCTCAAATTATAAGATTACAGCTGTCACCATGACTGGCTTGAGCTTTTTTTTTTTTTTTAAACTAAAATACTGATTGGTTTTGTTGTTTGGTTGTGCTAGGGATCAAATCCAAGGCTTCACATGCTAGACAAGGAGTCCACCACTGAACTATATCCCTAGCCTGAAATACTGATTTTTTTTTTAAGGGCTAAAATAAACTATATTTTATATAAGGTATGACAGTGACAAATTCTCAAATGGTTCATGTAAATTTAAGTACATTATAATAAACGCAAGATAAAGCCTCACCTAAAAACTTGTGACAATACTTTCTCATTATTAAATATAAATATTTAATAGTACTTGCACTACTGAATTTTCCTGAGTTTTGATCAGATTATCCATGGCAAAGACTCATAATAGCTTATAACTAATTAGCAAATTACACAAAATCTGACAGTCAAGAATCTTCATGATAGGGCTAGTGGAGTGGCTCAAGTGGCAGAGTGCCTGCCTATCAAGTGCAAGGTCCAGAGTTCAAACCCTAGTACCACCACCACCAAAAAAAAAAAAAAAATCTTCACTACAGGTGGCTTACATCTGTATAATCCTAGCTAGCTACTTGGGAGGCTGAGATAGGGAGGATTGTGGTTCAAGGTCAGCCAGGGCAAATAGTTCACGAAACCCCCATCTCCAAAATAATCAGAGCAAAATGTACTGGAGGTGTGGCTCAAGCAGTATAGTACTTGCTTTTGCAAGCATGAAGCCCTGAGTTCAAACCCCAGTCCTGCCCCTTCTTTTCTCCCCCCGCAAAAAACCCAAACAAACTTCACTATGTATGTCTTCCATCTTATATCTATAATCCACAATTTAGTTAATAAATACTTACTGACCACCATGTATAGGCACTCACCTAAAAAGTGAGAATCTCAAGGAATAAGACAAAGTACCTATTCTTATGATGGCTTACAAATCTGATGGTAGAGACAAGTAATACATCAGCAAATAATTAAATTACAAAATAATAAGAACTATATACAAGAAAAATGGCACCAGCAATTAAGAATGGTAGATGAAAGGAAAGCTTTTAGGCAGGATACTTAGGGAAGGCCTCTCTGAGGAAGTGACAATGAAGCTGAGACAACCACAAAAGTCACACAAGATCCCAATGAAAAACATTCCAGAAGCTGGGTATGTGGTGAATGCCCATAATCTCAAGGCTGAGGCAGGAAAACAGGGAGTTAAAGGCAGCCTGGGCTACACAGAAGGCTCCAGGCCAGCATGGAACACTTAGTAAAACCCTGAGAAAGAGGAAATAGAAAAACATTCCAGAAAGTATGGCAAATGCAAATACCCTGAGCAAGAGTAGGAAGGTCAATTTGCTAGAAGAGTGGGCAAACTGGATGCAAGGCATCAGAAAGATAACATGAAGAAGTAACTGTCCAACTTGAAATTTGTTTTGAATGAAGACATGCTAACGGACTAGATATGGAATATGAAAAGAATAGGGTACTCTCAGGTCCTAGCTAACAGATAGATAAATGGTGGTGGTAAATACTAACATAACAAGCCTGTGTGAGGAGTAAGTTTAGGAAGCTGAGAATGGAAATGAGATCTATTACTTAAGTAAACTATAATATATTTTCCAAATAATGCTAATGTTTTTGTTTTGCCTGGAATACCACGTTTATATTCTTCTTGACAAATTATAGAAACCATTTCATGCATGGTACCTCCTTGAATGCCTTCCTTACTCCAGCTGAAAGATGAAGAAATTTCCTATCTCTTTATGACTTGTAGTGTATTTTCTTCAAAAACCCATTAGCATTTGGGAGGGTACATGGGGGAGATGCCTAGGTTTATCACCCAGAGACTGTTTAAACACTCTAATAGAGTCTAGTATATTTCTAAAACAGGCCTGGGGATGTTGCTCAGTGACAGAACACATGCCCAGATACATGAGACCCACACCATAAAAAGCAGTGAGTGAAACAGAGTGAGAGTGAACAAACAGAAGATAATCAAGTAAAAAGGATGGGATAAGAAGCAAAACATTAGCCAGAGGTCTGATGCTCATGCCTATAATTTTAGCTACTTGGGAGGCTGAGATTAGGAGGATGACAGTTCCAGGCCAGCCCTGGCAAACAGTTCACAAGACCCCATCACCAAAATAACCAAAGTGAAATGGACTGGAGGTGTGGCTCAAGCAGCAGAGCACCTACTTTGCAAACACGAAGTCCTGAATTCAAACCCAAGTCCCACTCACCCCCCCAAAAAATTATTATTATGGGGTCACACACAAAATCTGGATTTTTTTCCTCCCTTGTTTTTTATTAGTTAGGATTATAGGCATGAGACATCAGCACCTGGCTCCCTTGTTTTAGAAAGAAAATTACTGACAATTGCTACAAGTAAAAAGTACTGCTGGGCACTTTAGAGTACTTTGTCACATTTAATTTACAAAAGCCACCCAGTTAATGATGTTAAGTGATGGTCTGCATGATCTGGATGGAATTTCCAACTGTGTCCACATCAGCCTGTTTTCTTCTTTATCAACAGTCCCTGATCTACCAGCAGTCCTCCCTTCTGCATCTAATCTGCCTCTAGTTCTTTCCACTTATATGCTGGCACTAACTCTAAACCTAACCTCAGTCCACAAACAAAGCAGGCTACATGATCCAGAGGTGAGTTAGTGAGCACCTTGAGAGTGGTACTGACATTCTGGATTTTATGCAATACATGTTTATAAGTAAGCAGTTTCATGTAAATACTGCCCACCACCAGCATTTTGAAAGTTGTAAAAATCAACATAAATATGCAATTATTTGCACCAAACAGCTCTGTAAATGACCATGTTGCAAATATCAGCCATTACTGATAAAATGAACTATGGAAACGTGGGAGAGATTATAGCTATAAACCACATGTCCTTAAATAAGAGCTTACATCAAGTTTAATGTGCATGCATGTCGAATTTAGTCTCTGAACTTTGGTAATCTACCTTTTGGTTTTTTTTTTTTTTTGCAATGCTGGGTTTTGAACTCAAGGCCTCATGCTTGCTACACAGACACTCTACCACTTGAGCCATTCCACCAGCTTACATCAAGTTTAAATAAAAGGTTTCAAATAAGCTGCCAGTAAACACAGAGTATACGATAGGCATCATCAAAAATTTATCACATAATAAAATTTAAAGGGAAATCTCCAAGAGTCCAGGAACTGTAGTTCTCCATTGCAGCAACAGAATCACCTGGGAACTTAACATAACGTAAATCCCAGGGGGCTGGGTGCGTGGCTCAAGTGGCAGAGCAACTGCCTAGCAAGCATGAAGCCCCAGTATGACCAGGGTGGGTAAAAAAAAGTAATGTAAATCTCAGGGTTGCACACCCATCCTCCAGAATCTGAAACTGCTGGGGCAGAAGGACTCAGTATTCTGTTTTTTGTTTAGTTTTGCTTTTTTGAAGCAGGGTCATGATATGTAACTCAGGCCTGGCCTCCAACTCTGGATCCTCTTGCCTCAGCCTCCCCATTGCTGAGATTATAGGCCCGAGCCACCATGCCTGGCTAGTACTCTGCTTTTTTAAGAACCACTTTTAAGTAATTCTAAAATAGGTCACAGTCTGAGAAACTAATGCTCTAAATAGACAGACTATATGTCTTTTACATGCTTACATATGCTTGTAAGTTTATGCATGCACATGTATAAACATATTATGCACACTCATATGCCAGACACATGCAGGCAAAATCTAAAAAAAAGGAGAGACAACTCTCATCTGTTTCTTCATATTGTCTTAATTTGGACATTAACTAAAAATTAATTAAAATTTCCAATATAAGATAAAAAAACAGATATTTACCAAGGGATTTTCCTGCTGCAATTCTTGTCAAAAACTGACAAATATATATAGTTCTCAACTGATAAGCTGTAAGACTGGATAGTCCATGAATAATAGCTGGAAAAGAAAACAGTGAATTTTATTAAAATGAAATAAAAATTAAACAATCTAGTAGTATCATTGTGTTATTTGGTATTGGGTTAAACAACTCATTAAATTTAGAGCTGTGGATTCTAATTATTTAGTCGATTTTTAAAAAAAATCAGAACCAAAAAAGAGTAAGAATAGTTTTGCACTAAACACTCTTCTTGCAAAAAAAAAAAAAAAAAAACCTGACTCACATAAAGAACAGTCAAAATTATTTACAAGTACCACTCTATGCTAACAAAGATTTATAACTAAAACATAAAATATGTTGAATCACTAGTTTGAAACTTATTTTATGCCATGAAATTCTTTGTATTAGAGAAAAGATTTTATATTATTTGTTAAGATTTCAGTTAAGAGAGTCTATTCAGTTCGTAAGGCTATATATTTAAAAATGTATTTTTTTATATTTATCTCCCAAATATCTGAATGCCCACACCCAAATATTGTGTTTGCAGTGAATATGTACAGTGGTGAATAAACCATACTCCTGGATCTCAGTGAGCTAATACTAAGCAGAACACAGACTGTGAAAACGGAAAAAGACAAGCACAGAATGCTACAGAAGCACATAACAAAGAAAAGAGTGTGTTCAGGTATCTTTTGGGGAAAAGGATTGTCAGGAAAGGCTCTTCTAAGGAATTAATTTCTAAGCTAAGAATTGAAAGTGCCACTGTTAGCATTATACCTCACCCAAGGCTTGCTTCATGTACATAAAAAGCTTGAACAACCAGCAAATGGAAACACAGTCCTAAAGTCACTAAACAGGTGAAACAGTACACTTACCCCATATTTCCTCAACTCTACAGTGGTATAACCTTATATTGTAACAGACATTATCTATACTAAATACAGTCCTAATGGAATTAAATAAGATTTACAGAGAACACAATTTATAAAATATTTAAACACAAGTCATTAAATATTTACCGAAACTGTGTTAGGATCTGCTGACTCATAAGATAGCTAGTTCCTGACCCTCATGAAGATTTTAGTCTGAGAAGAAATTTGTTGACAAATTAAGCAAAAAGTTATGCAAGTGACTAAAATTTTAATAATACCACAAAGGATAGGTACAGTTCACCCTCTGCATACACAGGTTTGGATATCCAAAGATTCAGTCACTGCAGATGGAAAATATTTGAAAAAAACTGGGTCTGTACTTAAACTGTAGACTTTTTTTCCTTGTTATACCTTAAATGACACAGTATAACAATTATTTACACAGTACTCACATGGTTTGAGGTGTTGTAAATAAACTAGAAGTGATTTAAATATAAGGTATACAAAAGGACTGCATATGCTATGTGCAAACACTGGGCCATTTCATGTAAGGCACCTGAGCCTCAGTTTTTGGTCTACACAGAGGAACAGATTAAGAACTTGAAACCAAGCCCCCGCAGATACTAATAAAGGATGGAAGACTGTATAGTATAGGAGAAAAACAAAAGGCCTATTTTTTGGAAAGAAAGTAACACCCTTCTACCTTTACTTCCCTAAATATACTATGTAATAATTACAAATACCTTACACTCCTTTGTCATTCTGTTCATTGTACCTGCTAGGTAGGCTGTTTACAAAACAAAAACAAAAAAAACCTACCTACCCTGGGCCAATCTGGCTGTCTTATTTCCATACTGCTAAAACCAAAAACAAAACAAACAAAAACTGCCAGTGCCAATGGGTGCTAGTGACTCTCACCTATAATTCTAACTACTCAGGAGGCAGAGGTCAGGAGAATCATAGTTCAAGGCCAGCCCAGGCAAAATGAAAGCAAGACCCTACCTCAAAAATGCCCAAAACAAAAAGGGCTGGTGGAATAGCCCACGTGGTGGAGTACCTTCCTAGCAAGCGTGAGGCCCTGAGTTCAAACCCCAGAACCACAAAAAAAAAAAAAGAAATAAAAATTAGGGAGGTTCTAATGGCTAGAAATAATCACAACTATATGGGAATGCTTAGTACAGGCCAGGCACCACTCTGCTCTTTATACCAGTGGTTTTCAGTTGGGAGTGATTTTTCCTCACTGGCCATTTGGCAATGACTAGAAACACTTCACATTTTCAGGAGAGTTTGGTGCTACTAGCATCTAGTTAGTCAAGGCCAGAGATGCTACTAAACATCCTATAATGCACAGGATTTGTCTGATGTTCTTCTTATAACTAGACTAAAGTTAAAGTTCCATTTTCATTATAATATATTAAGTGTACATACTATAAACTATCACTATTGATGTGGACCTTGATCACCTAGGTGAGGCAGTGTTTGTTCTGTTACTCTACTGTAAAGTTACTCCCTGTCCCTAACCCTCCCTGTACCACACTTTCTGTACTCTGTAAGAAAGTCACTATGTGCACCCCACATTTAAAAAGTGGGAGTTATGTCCCACCTTCTTGAGGAAGTGTCCTTTCATCTGCCAGAGCAAGGAAATGTACGTATGTATACTAACCCATATTTATACACACACACATAACTCTTTCTGTATCCCTCTGCTATAGCTTGGATCTGGAATGTCCCCCAAAAGCCCACATGTTAAAGGTTTTTTTTTTTGTCCTCAGCTTAGTACTATTGGAAGGTTATAGAATTTTATTGTGGGGGGGTGGTCTGGTGGGAAGTTTTAGGTCATTGAGAGCAGGCCCTTGAAGAGGACTCCTCTCTCATTCCTGTCTTTTTCAAGTCCTGATCTTGCGGTAAGCAATTTTGCTGTGTCAGGACCTCTGCACCTTGATGTGCTGCCTTGCCACAAGCCCCCAAAACAAGGGAACAACTAAAACCTCCAAAACTGTGCCAAATAAACCTTTTCTTTATTATGTCAGATATTTGTCAGTGACACAAAGCTAACACACTACCTGTATCTGTAGCGGCTAAACAGTTCATACTGATACCTCCAACTCTAATCTGTTACCATAAAGCTAATTTTGGTCTACTTGCCAAAGACAGCTTCTGTTACCATAAAGCTAATTTTGGTCTACTTGCCAAAGACAGCTTTTTGATAATTCTAACTATGAAGGACCCTCATCTCAAGATTTCATTTCTACTTAATGTTAATCACCTCTGGCTCCAGAGTTACTTGTGCTATTCATAGGCCAGATCATTGCCTTGTTAACATAACCTACTTCTGTATAAACTGAGGTTATGTCGAGATGGTACAAAAGATGCAGTGCATGATCACGGCCTGCTAAGGCTCCCGTAATTAATTATCACATCGGTACTACAAACACACTTGCACAATAGACTAGGTGGCGTAAGAGGTGCTCAAACTGCTTTTGCTGAAAAGCACTGACTCCACCTCGGGCCCACGAATTAACTTAAAAACAGGAGAAGCTTAGCATCCCTGCCTCCATTTTGTATCTGTCTCTGTTCTAAGCCATTCTCTTTACAGTCACTTTGCAATCACTTTGGACTCCAGAAAGGACAGAACTGATAACATCTCTGTGACAAGGGACTAAACTTTCCCATAAGGAACAATGTGACATGCAGGACAGACCACCCCTCCAAATGAGGATAAGTACCTAAAATGATGAGGCTGCACCCTGTAGCAGGAGTAATCATCACCTGGGAACCAGGCTGCTCCCCTCAAGTGATGCCAGTGATAACGTCTTCTCTGGAACCCCTCTGGGGACGCTTGGACTGAGATGCCAACCAGAACACAGCTGTGACTGGGGCTGTTTAACCATGCACACCTGTGTCAGTAGTCATTTTTAGGAGGCTTGCTAGTTGAGGCAAGAGTCAACGCTAGGGAGGCAAAGAGTCAGTCCCTTGGCACAGAGATGTTCGCCCCCCGCCTGCCCCCAGAGTCCCAAGAGAGGCTAAAGTAGCCGGGAAGAGTGAAGAGATGGCGGAGCCCGTGGCCAACGTCCCCTGGACGGGCGCGGCTCCCGCCGACGGCGCGCTCGGCCGCCCGCGTCCGTGTCCCACCTCTCCGCACCCCGGCCCGGCCAGGGACCCCGCGGGAGCCAGGCCCCGCTCACCTTCCGCGCTGTCCCGGGCCCGGTGGAAGTCCTCCGAGCGGCCGTCGCGGAAAGCCCGGCAAAGAGAGAGGCAGAGGAAGTCGAGCATCCACCCCGCCGCCACCGCCTCGGCTTCTGCCACCAGGTCCGCGTCCTCCTCCTCTTCCTCTGCGACCCCCAACTGCACCTGGCACGCCAGCAGTTCCTGGCAGTCAAAGTGCTCCGGGTCGTCCCTCGCCGTCGCCACAGTCTCCGGCTCTAGTAAAGAAGCCTCATCCTTCCCGTCCGCACACCCCCGCGGGCTGGGAGTCGCAGAACCCGCGGCCTCCGCCATGTTAGCTCGCCCCGCTGCGTCCCTTCCAGCGCGTAGCTGTGATTGGCTCGCGCAGGGCGCAGCCGCGCTGAGGCACCGTCCCCACGGGAAGTCAACCAATCACATCGCCAGGATGGGCTAGCGGTTCGAGCTTGGCTTTTGATTGGCCTGGACGTGCCTCGACCTCTGGGCGTTGAATTTCCCGCCAGTGTGTGTCAGGGCTTTGCGGGTGAAATGAACAACTTCAGTCAGCTACACTGCACAGGGAGGCTGGAGGGAAAGTAGGGGATTGCTTTATTTTCCTTTCAAAAAAAAAACACAAAAATGCAACCTTGGCGCCTGCCTAGCAAGCGTGAAGCCCTGAGTTCAAACCCCAGAGCTGCCCTCCACCCCCCAAAATTTCATTAAAATGCAACCTTGGCTGGAAACCACAAGGTTAATTAAAATGGAAATACTTTTTGCCTGTAGCGTGCATCAGAAAAGAGAGGTTAATTAGACCTTGTCAACATTACTGTAATGTGGGCGTGGTGGTGCAAAGCATGTAATCCCAGCACTTAAGAGGCTGAGGCTGGAGGATCACAGGTTCTAGGCCAGCCTCCCTACAAAGCGAGACCCTGTGTGAAAACACACACACTAACACTTTTAGATCCGGGCATTCAAATAACACAGTTACTAAAAACCAAAAATGTTCCAAAGGACTGATATCTGTGCTTTACAACCTTAACCGCGTGTCAAAATCAGCCCTGGGGCTTGTTAGAGCACCCATGCCACGCTCTACTTCCAGAGTTTCCACTCTGTAGTTCTGGCCAGGGGTCCTTGAATTTGCACGTCTAATAAGCTCCCTCTGATGCTCAGGCTTCTTGTCTGAGGATGGCCACTCTAGAAAGACAGCATCACTATTGAAGTGTATTTCAGTCAGGCTCTAAGACCACAGAATACGTCCTACACAACAGTTTAAGTGGATGCTGTTATTACTATTACTGATTTTCTCAGTGTTGGGAATCGAAAACAGGCCTCACTCGTGCTAGGCAGCACTCCACCTCTGAGCTACAATGAGAGCCCTTGAGTGCTTATTTTTGATTTTGTAATTTACAGGACCAGAGGAGATTCTGGGTGTGGGGGGGCGGGTGGGCTGGTTATTTTCTGTTTCTCAATGTGAGTGAGCATGATTTATACACTTTTCAGTACATTTATTTTAACATCCTTTTGTTTATAACACTTTCAACACTATCAAAGCCTTTGTTGTTTTATTTGGGTTTAGTTTTTTTTTGGGGGGGAGGTACTGGGGTTTGAACTCAGGGCCTTCACCTTGAGCCACCCCACCAGTCTTAGTTTTGTGATGGGTTTTTTGAGATAGGGTCTCATGAGCTATTTGCCTGGGCTGGCTTCGAACTGTGATCCTCCTGATCCTTGCCTCCTGAGTAGCTAGGATTACAGGTGTGAACTGATGCACGGATGACACGCGCAGGAATTTCAGGTGCTCAGGGTTCTTGAGCCTGCTCTGAGAATGAAAGCACAGGCAGACTCCAACAGCAGAGGTCGGAAAGGTTTTATTTGTAGAGAAGAGAAGAGAAAAACTGCATATTGGGGAATGCAAGGGGACCCCGAAACTAGTGATCCCGTGGATGGAGGGGGGAAGTTATAGCCTTTTTTGCATTGCCTGAGGGCGGAGATGCCTTTCAGATGCAGACGGGCATTCCCTAGGGAGCTGAAGTGTCTCCTTGACCTCCTGTGGTCTGTCCTTCAAGGCCCCTCAGTCTCAGTGACTGCCCTAACTGCTGTTAGGAATAGGGACCAAAGTCTATTCAGTAACTGCTTCCTGCTGACAGGGGGCGATGAAGAGGCCCGCAGCATCAGGGCTGACCATGAGATGAGTTTTCCAGGGGACCTTGATAGTAGGTCCTTTTCATCTCCATCAGAGGCATTTGTAATTTGATGGATTCTAGGTGAGAAGAAACAAACTTGACAAGTAAGTTTAAAATGCAAGGCCCAAACACAAGCAAGAGAATAATGGCAACTATAGGCTCCAGAAAGGGTAGGAACCAAGTCCTGGAGGGAAGCCAGGATTTTATTTGGTCCCATACCTGGGTAGAAAACTGAGTTTCAAGAGATTGCTCCCAGAGCCACTTAGCCTGCTGGAGAATGTAATCTACAATGCCTGAAGTGTTTATATATGTGCAACAGGAAGTGTTGGCAATGGCACATACCCCCTCCTTGTTTGGCCAAAAGAAAATGTAGGGCTAGGCAGTGGTCCATGACTAAATAGTCAAGGGATGACAAAGACCTTTGCATGTCCTTAATGGCAAGGCCTACCTGGTCTGAGGTGTCCTCTTCTACTTTGGTTAGGTTTTTTGCAGTTATATGATTGGCAATCACCCCACAGCTGATTTCAGCGAGGGCTGTCACTAATGCTGTTATCCCTAAAACTATTAAAGTAACCTTTCTTTTATCCCTATGGGAAGCTGTTCCTGTCGTAGTTAGTATTCCCCTTTCCTTCCAGATGGCTGCATGAGCATGTAGGATCAGGAAGGCACACTTGGAATCTGTATAGATGTTTACTCTCTGTTCTTTTGACAGTCTTAGGGCTTCTATTAGGGTCACTAATTCTGCCAATTGGGCACTTGTATTAGGAGGAAGATGACTTCATTTGAGGATGCCAAATTCTGTTACAACTGTAAACTCTGCATGTCTGACACCATTTTTAAAAAAGGAACTGCCATCAGTGTATAATTCTAGATCTGGGTTTGTTAAGGGCCGATCAGTTAAGTCATGTTGAGCAACATAGTTTTCCATAAGTACCTCCTCACATGAGTATTCAGGATTTCCCTCTGCCTCTTGTAGAAGGGATGTAGGATTTAGGCTCTGACAGGTTCTTAAAGTTATTTTTGTCCCTCCCAGAAGCTGGGCCTGATGTTTAAGTAGATGGCTGTCAGATAGCCAAAGTTCTCCTTTTGAGTTTAGAATCCCCCCTAGGTTGTATGAGGTATAAATGTTAGGGGGTAGTTTAGGATAAGTTTTTGAGCTTCAGGCACTAGAAGGCTTACTGTAGCCATTGCTCTAAAGCATCCTTGCCATCTCTTGGCTACCTGATCTCTTTGCTTAAGTAGCCCACTGGCTGAGCTGAGTCACCACGCCCAAGGCCAGTCCTCCTTTTTCATTGACATATAATTGAAACTTGTCTTGTGCTGGGAGACCCAGGGTGGGTGCTGTCATAAGAGTCTTTTTAAACTGGTGGAATGCATTTTCTGACTTGTCATCCCACTCAATGAAGGGCTGGGTATCCTTCTGTGCTTCCTTAAGGATTTGATATAAGGGCCTGGTGAGGTCTGTATATCCCAGGATCTAAATTCTACAGTATCCTATGACCCCCCAAAAGGCCCTCAATTGCTTTAGAGTTTTAGGTAGAGGAAACATCAGGATTGGACGGATTCTGTCTTCTCCTAGATCCCTCATTTCTTTCTCCAGGACAAGACCTGAATATGTAACCCTAGACTGACACAATTGGGGTTTTTCTTTAGAGATTTTATAACCTCTATCTGCTGAGAAGTTTAGTAAGGACTCATTGGCTCGTGAAATGACAGGCTCACTTTGTCCACAGAGCAGGAGGCCATTTACATATTGTAGCAGAGTAGCTTTTGGATATTGCCATTCTGCCAGATATTGGGTTACAGCTAACCCAAAGAGGTGGGGGCTGTCTCTGAATCCCTGGGGGAGAGCAGTCCAAGTGACCTGTCCAGACTTTCTTGTGGGGTCCTCAAAGGAAAAGATAGGTTGACTTCTAGGGTGTAAGGGAATGCAAAAGAAGGCATCTTTTAAATCCAGGACAGAGTAGTAAGTAGTACCCGGAGGTATTTGGGCTAGAAGCGTATAGGGATTTGGAACTACAGGGTGGAGAGGCACTACTGCTTCCTTGATCAGGCGGAGATCCTGGACTAGCCTCCATTTGTTAGGTCCCTTCCTGACACTGAGAATAGGAGTAGTATATGGGCTGGAGCATTCTATTAGCAGTCCCTTTCTCTTTAAGTCTTTGATTATGGGAATTAGCACCTCCTTAACTTCTGGCTTTAAAGGATATTGTTTTTGATAGGGAAACCAGGAGGGGTCCTTGAGATGAATTAGGACTGTGACAGCTGTTTGTGCCCGTCCCACAGTGTGTCCATCTGTCCACACTGTGGGGTCTACTTGTTCCTCTATCTGGGGCAAGCAAAAGTACTCTCCTGTGGGTAAAAGGAGCTGTACCCCCAATTTAGATAGAAGGACTTGCCCTAGCAGAGGAGTAGGAGTTTCTGGGACAATTAAAAAGGAGTGACAGAAATGGAAATCTCCCCAGGAGCAGGCTAAAGTCTGAGTGAAATAATGCTCTAGAGGTTGGCCTGATATGCCTCGAACAGTAATTTTCTTGGAGGACCTGGATCCAGGAGAGAAAGGAATAGCTGAGATGCTGGCTCCAGTATTGATAAGGAGGCCGACATTGTGCTTTTCAATCATGAGTAAAATCTAGGGCTCACCTGCCTTTATGGTGGTCACAGAAACCTAATGGGAGGCCCCGGGATCCATCACTGGGTGGGAGGCTCTGACCTCAGTTCCCCTGGGAACCAGGGACAGTGTGCCTTCCAGTGTTTTCCCTGACAAATTGGGCAGGGTCCCAGAGGTAGCTTTCTCCAGGGGCACTGCCTCCTAAAATGGCCTGCCTGTCCACATTGAAAGCATGTCCTAGGGTTTGGACTTTGCCCTGGGGAAGCCTCTCTAAGCACTTTGATCAGAGTCTCCTGCCACTTATCCTTTCTTTTTTCCTTTTCCAGGTCCTTCTTTTCTTTTTCTAAGTCCCTGTTATAGTATACAGACATGTATATATACAGACCAATTGGTCTAGATCTCTGCTCCCTTCAGCCATCAGTTTGTAAAGTTTTTTATGGATATCTGGCGCTGACTGTGTTAGAAATTTATCTTTTAGGGCGATTTCTTCTTCCTGTGACTCTGGTATAATGTTGGTATGCTTTTGTAAAGCATCCTTAAGTCTCTGTAGG